ATATATATAATGTATACACACACATACCAGATTCATTTATCTCGTGAAAAAATATCTTCCAAGCCAAATCTACTTTGTCCCGTCTGGAATAGTCTGGACGGCCTTTCTCATATACGCCAGGCTCTTACTCATTTAACTGCACAAGAACAAATTAGCAGCTTCGTCCACTCTTCTCGCCCACTTAACAAACAAAATAATCACTGCAGCACGTTACAGTACAGATGATTTCTAGGAATCCAAAGGGAAATTCAATCGAACTCGATCATGTGAAGACTGGCATGCTCCGTTGTCAGGAAATTGAGTTTCTCAGTCTCTCCGCGAGTTGCGTTGCCGTTTCCTCAATTTGCGCTGCGCCATTTACTTACATGTGTTGGCCTCGCCATAGCTCAAGCCGTTAGTCGCTGGCTTCCCACCGCGGCGGCCCGGGTTCGATCCCCGGGTCTGGTCAAGTGGGATTTGTGGTGGACAGTGTGGCTCTGGGGCAGGTTTTCTCCGAGTGCTTCGGTTTCCCCTGCCAATCTTCATTCCACCAGTTGCTCTACAATCACCCTCACCTATCATCTTGGGCTGGCACAAGAGGCCAGAAGTGGCCGCAGTACAAGGGACTTAATCTCACCCCCCTAGCAATATAAAAAATACTTACATGTGTTCAGCTCTGGCTAATAACACTTCTCGGAAATCGCGGTTGCGTTGCGGTTGCTAGTTTCCTTGATGTCCCCCTGGCCTAAGTGAATCATGGAATCACGATAAAAAATATCCCATAGACACAGACTAGAGCATAGATAACACACACCATGGGGACTCACTACGGAACACTAAATTGATATGAGCAAATAACTGATGATAGTGTCAAACATACCTGAACATACCCATCGTGTTTCATTTGTTTCGCTGGTTTTGCAGTGTGTAGTGAGGTTGGTTTGAATGTGGAAATGGATAATTTGTTTACTGGATGTATTTCATAACCGTTACACTGTTCATAGCTTTGTTAATTTTGTATAATGTTTATACATTTTTACGTTTACTTAGTATATTTGCCTAATGTGTTTTAGCTAACCAAGCTTGTAATACGTTTAAAGTGTGTTCTGTTTCGCAATATTGTGTACTTATACGAAAAGTATTTTAAAACGTAGTGTAGAATACCATTCTTTACTGCTTCATATTACTTAGTATAATAAATCTAGACTGATGTTGGCTTCTGAATCACTTCGGACGCCTTCCACAGCCGAACCCACTAGGTTTTCTGGCTTTGTGTTCCGCTTCTTGCCGTATATGTGCCACTTCGGTTAATATTCACTCGTCTTCGGCACTTTATTGTAGACCACTGCATGTTTCGGCCTACCTGGCCGTCATCTGGTTTGTGATTTGTTGTGATCAAGGAATCTGCTGCTTTGCTGTGATGTTCTGATGCCTCGGAATATTCTAGGTTATGTGGGTTATCGTGCTGTTGCCATGCACTAGGTTTTTTATGGAATCCTGTTTGGTCTCCTGATCAAATGTTGATATACATCAATATATTTGCGTTTTCTTCCCACTTTGGTGCATCCTTTCACAGGATAAGAGGGATTGGACTCATAGTGTAGTGCAAAGTATCAGTTGTTTTGTTTTAAAAGTATTGATATTGAGAGGGGCCTGTAAAAGGATGTGATGCCTGCATGTTACAGAAAGATTTCTTTTCTGAAAATATTTAATAATTTCTTTATTCTAGTTGTAAAAGGAAGATTTGAATCAAGAATGATTAGGGCATTCATTAACTATGAAAATCGAGTTACTAAAATGCAGTTAATTTTTTAAAGTAATTGTTACTGTTATATCTCCATGTTAAGGTCTGATACAAAGATGTAGTGACTTGTAATGTTGTAGGAACTCTTGGCAACGGAAGCCCAGAGTATGCCAGTAAAGAAAAGAGCTGTAAAGCGGCGAGGTTCAGGGTCCAATGTCGGATTGGCAGTAAAGAACAGCAAGAAACAGAAATGTAAGTACAGGTAAAACTGGTACCATGACACCTTATGTGTTCTTCCTCAGTTCATCCAGGCAAATGCATGATAGTACCTAAAATGAGGCCATGACTATTCTTATCATGTCCTGCATTATTTACTAATAATCATGCCATTTAGTGGTACATAGCTTGGGTTAGTGATAGTGTCATTAAATAAACCATGAATGAATAATAAATCATGATTTTATCTGTTGAGAGGGATGTCTCAGTCAAATCAGCTATGGAATAAATGGTTGTAGTTCATTTCCAGTAGGAGTGTTTGCATTAACACACTCAGCACCTTCCTAGAGATAAAGGAATTTATGTCCTTTGCTTCAGTATCTCTGTCACGTCCTGAGCCCCCATACACCAAGACACCAGGTGTTGTGCTTACATTTGGTCAAGGTGATGTTGGGCAGCTTGGTCTAGGAGCAGACACATTGGAACGAAGCCGCCCAGCGGTTGTGCCATGTGTGGATCATGTGATAGATGTGTGTGCAGGAGGAATGCACACAGTCTGTCTCACAGAGTCTGGAGAGGTGAGGGAAATGCCTGTAACTTGATAACAGGGAACATGTTTTGCTTACTGCTAACATTTATAATGTGGTATTCAGGTGATAACATTTGGCTGTAATGATGAGGGGGCATTGGGTCGAGACACTAGCAAGGAGGGTTCAGAGATGGAGCCAGGAAAGGTGATCTTGGAAGGCCGTGTGGTGCAGATAACAGCTGGAGATTCTCACACTGCGGCACTGCTCGCTGATGGGAAAGTGTATGCCTGGGGCTCATTCCGAGTGAGTATACCTCTACACGGGACATTTTTCTTTGAGGAACTGTCCGCATATTGGAGATTTGCATTGCTGCATGTTCCAGGACTCAAGTGGGACAATGGGCCTCTCATCAAAAGGAACAGAGAAACAACCCATAGAAATGTTGCCAGGCTATGTTGTTGTGAAGATAGCATCAGGGGCAGACCACCTGGTCATGTTGGATGAAAATGGACAGTTGTACACATGTGGGTGTGGGGAACAGGGGCAGCTGGGGCGAGTAACCGAGCGAGGAGCAAGTCGTGGGAGCAGGCAGGGCATGGGTGAGTGGGCTTCTGTCTTGCAGTTAGTGCTTTAGTGCGATCTTGGTTCACCACTCAGTTCTGTTCTGCATTACAGCCCATTTGCTGTCCCCCATGCTGGTGACATTCAAGCCAAGACACAGACCTGAATTTGAAGATGTGTGGGCAGGTACTTACTGTACATTTGCGAAGGAGAAATCAAAAGGAGATATATATGTATTTGGGCTGAATAACTACAACCAGTTAGGTGAGTTGGCTGGCTTAGTGATGTCAGGTTTTAGGACCATACTCATATGCAGAATACAAGGTAAGCTGACTGGAAGTGAGATAGTGAATGTATCAAGTCGAATATCTAGAATCTGAGATTTTCACTTGGTCATTTTAAGCACAGAATGTGCCACATGTTGGATATCAACCCGTCAACCTAGCATTTAAGCCCCTACCAGTTGTTCACTGCAGAGGTATTTAAATGGCCCCGTAGCAGACATTTCTTACAACATTCTTTCATTACTCGTTTTATATATTCTAGAAATTACTAAAGGGAGTTTTATCAAATTTTCAGGAGACATTAACCTTTAAATGCTTCACTTCTGAAATGGTGGTAAGCTTGAGCTGGCCAGAGTTTATTTAACCTTTATCGGACGGGCTTTTAAATTGCCGGTAGCCCCTGTATGGCCGGGATTTAAATCGCCTTTATTGAGGATCTTTGCAAACCTTGAGAAAAAAATACATATTTTCCGTTCTATGCAACATAGAAATATGAACTAAAAAGAATCTGAAATACAAGAGAATTTTCTACATATATGTAAAAGATCACGTTTTAAAAATGAAAATTAAATCCCCTGTCTGTGGTTTTCCATCGCGAAGCTATCGGCAAAAATTAAAAATTCCATAAAAATTGATAGCAGCATGCCAGAATTATGCAGTTTTGGTCTCCCCTGTTCTGGTTACATTCCACACCATGCCAGTGACGCGGGGTCTAGGCCACTGAGTGTTATGAGAGGAGAGGCTGATTTCATCATGCCTACACGATTTATATGCGTTTGCTTCTTAGCTTTCATTCTACTAAACAGGGCCATGTTTGTTTTGCTAGCCTGGGTTCAAATTGTACCTAATAGCGTTGACGAAACAAGGCTCTAAGTGCTATAAGAAATTATTCAAGGGCATATCAACCCATACAGCACTTGTCGTATATCGGTTATCTCGAATAACAAGAAATAGACAGACTATAATCCACTTTCACACGGAAGGAAACAAAAGTGTAATCTTCCGTTATACGAAACGTTTGGTTCAGTCACCTACACAATACGCCTTTGCCTGCACAGAATGATTTATCAGAGGACGCAGACATTCGAAGAATACGTATGCTGTCCTGAAAACATTTACTACGAAGCTACGTTCTATGCAACATAGAAATATGAACTAAAAAGAACTTGAAAGACAGTAAAATTTTTCCACACATACGTAAAAGAACAAGTTTTACAAATGAAAATTAACTGTGATTATTTTGTCATGAAATGCAAAATATAATCTTTATTATATATGTTATGAAATTCCAAAATACTTACCCGTTGTTTTTTCTTCATCCTTGAATCATGGTGGTGATGTAAAAATCACTATATACAATAATATTTTGTTCAGGCTACACTTTGACTCGCGTGTGCCAGCGCCGGAAGCAGTCCGCGACACACAGCGCAACATCACACTTTTCGCAGTAATAAAACGTCATTTTTCGTTTCTTATTTTGCGAACAAACACGACACCGTCTTTGTTTTCCTTTTGCGGGCCAATGTTGCGAATGTTTCACTTCTAGTCGCACCATTTGGGCCCCAGATGAACTTGGCCTCCCCCGAGAAACGCCACTGACCGTGAGATTTGCCTCATGTGATTCAAGAATCAAATCCCGCACCAGTACTTCGCGGAACTTTTTGTGTGTCATTTTTCCACCACATGACTTATGTAATAGATATGCATTTAGAATAGTCATATCTAGAAGGTGGAAAAACAACTTCTTTGTCCACTTCCATGTCCTCCGAGCAATGCCATAACTGTTTACCATCCTGTCAGATTTATCCACAAAGCCCATGTGTGCATTGTAGTCCTCAATTACATGGGGTTTGACAGCATGGCCAGATTCATCTCGGAAGTTGCCTTCCAATGGAGGAGGGTGCAAATTCGTCAGAACATACACATCACGCTTGTCTTTCCAACGAACAACACTTAGATGCCCCTTGACCCTTGTGACAACATCCCCTTTTTTCAATTTCATTGACTTGGGCCGAATGTCTTGTGGCATTCCACGCCTATCATTGCGAACGGTGCCACATGAATTTATTTTCCTGTCTAAAAGATCGTCAAACAACGCAGGAGAACTGAAATAATTGTCCATGTAAATTTTGTGTCCCAAGCCTTCTACTCTTCGAATTAGCTGGAGAACAATGCCATGCGTTGATGTAATTTGTTCTGTCGCAAGTTGTCTTTGTTTGCCTAAATAAACTGTCATGTCATATGTGTAGCCAAGAGAATCGCAAAGCTTGTAAATTTTTATACCAAATCTTTTGCGTTTCTTTGGAATATACTGCCGAAAAATCACTCTTCCTTTGAACAACACTATGACTTCATCAACAGCAAGACGCTCTGCTGGATTGTAAAGTTCACAAAATTTGTTGTTCAGATTGTCAAAAATTTTTCTAATTTTCCAGAGCCTATCATACTCTGGGTCATCTCGATTTGGAGGAGCGTCATTATTTTCAAAATGTAGGAATCTCAAAATATGAAGGAAACGGTCTCGTACCATGGTGTTACGGTAGAATGGAGTGTAGTATTGCTCATCTCTTGACCAATAATCTTTGAGGGTGTCCCGTTGGTCGTGGCCCATTTGAATTATTATTGCCAAAAAATTATATATTTCTTCAATTGTAACGTCAGGGGGTTGAACAGAGGGGCCTGGAGCATCTTGGCGTGCCAGAAATTGGTGGAAATATCTATTGCTTTCTTGCACCAAGATCTGGAATATTTGTTGGAAAAACAGAATGAAAATGGAAAAAGGAGAGGACTGTGAATTTATATTTGGGGCAGCTGATCTGTTGATTCCACTCGGAGGACCAGTGAAGTCTAGTACCTTTGGCAAATCCCCGGGTCTTCTATGACGAAACCTAATTTCCGGTTCCTCTGCCTCGTTGTCTGATGATGATGATGATGATGACGACAAAATACCTGGTCGAGGATCAGTGAAGTCATTGATATCATCTAATTCCTCATCCGATTCCTCTTCCATCAATATTTCTTGCAGTTCTTCTGCATCGAGGCGTTTGGAATACCGGGCACGTTTTTGAGGTTCCATCTTGGGGGGGGGGTCTGGAAAATCGAATAAATTATGTTGACTGACAAAGACTCACAAAATAGTGATGCAAAGTAACTGTAATAGTATGGAACAATAGGCTAGAAGTGGCAGCAGTACAAGGGACTTAGTCCCACCCCACTAGCAATAAAAAATAATGACTGTAATAGTAGTCGAAAAGAGTGCCAGTCCGACACTGATACCGAAAGTCACAGTGACGAAGATGCCCTTTACTCACAAAGTAATACTGGCTCAGTGGGTTTATACCTCTTCCGAGACACAAAATAAAAATAATATACAAAGAAATATATGATATGAAGAAAGTCGTCTTCTGGGATATGACGCCGTGTATTCGTGGTTTTTACAGACGTTTCGGAGGAACGTATCACCTCAATCTTCAGGGCAGATGAATCGTGTTGCGAATACAGATGCTACTGCTTCTATATTCGCAACACGATCCATCTGCCCTGAAGATGGAGGCGATACGTTCCTCCGAAACGTCGGTAAAAACCACGAATACACGGCGTCATATCCCAGAAGACGACTTTCTTCATAGTCATCGCCGTGAAAACTTCAAAACTTACAAATATATGATAGTCTGACACTCACCTTTTTACGTGAAAAAGAAATATTACACAATCCAACACTGACTTCCAAACTGATATTTCACCACTGAAAAAGATTCCTTGAATACTTCACACTTTCTTGAAAGTTCTTGAAGCACTGATCTGCAAGCTCTGACGAATATTTCCCCTTCAGTTCTCAGAACAAAGCTGGGCTATATTTGGCAGCCCAGGCCACGAACACTCATATATGAACGTAAATATTATCGAAGCCAGTACCGTGATAAACGATTTCTATGTTCAGAGCTAAGGAATGAACCTCTGACATGACCCTGCGTGGGTTTGTTTTGGTTTCAAACCCAACATAAAACCGTCAGCACTGACAAAGAGTGCACGTGTCCTGTGTCATAAATCAGTGACATTCGGCCAACTCGGGTTGCTGCCTCTGTCATTCATTTGTGACATTCGTCCGTTAAAGGTTAAATGCCTGCTGCTGGTGTGCGTTTAAATGCCTGTTGCTACTCTTCGTTTAAATGTCCGTTCCTGTTAGGGCACTTAAACAATTTTAAGCATTGTGTTTAAAAATGCTGTATCTAACTCAATTTTTATGATAAATGGTTGGAATTAACTTTGTTTATATCAGCAAAGAATAGTGTTGCATATTATAATGGAAGATTTGAACATTTTTATACAGAGAGTTATACTCTATTTTCAATTTTTTTCTTTTAATTTTGATGCGTACTGCAAAAATGGTTTCCCAGTTCTTCACAGAGTTGTTCTGCATTATAAATTCATTTCTGTTTGTAACACTTGACAAAATTTAGCAGTCTCTGGTGTCATAAAACAGATGGAAGCAATAAAGTCATTTGGCCTTCTGCTAGCACTGCTTACACTCTTCGGATTTTCGAATCTTTGACTGAAGGTCAGAAGAATGAAAGAATGGCTATTCAAGAGAAAGCTAGAGGGGTCCCTTCTTCAATGCTAAGACCTTCCATTATAGTCTGCAAGAGATTATTGCCCTTCCTACCGTCGTGAACAGACAGTTGCATCTTGGCTGAGATACAGAGTGTGATCTGTTTTCTATGCGTTCATAGTGAAATCGAATACTGTAGTTTCATTTCAGCCTATATATACATCAAGCAGATAACAAAAAAAGGTATATACATTGAATTTTACTGTATATTTTTAACACATTAATCTGCAGAATCTGCAATAAAAGTACTGGCTCATGGATGAGTTTGAGCATAACTCGTACGTATATTTTCTTGTCTGTCTGGGAATTACTACATTCAAAAATAAATATTTAGGACTGTGCATGCACTTCCACTAGCAAAGTTTAAATACCCGACTCGCCAAAACGGGGTACTTTGGCCACGACGACCATACTCATCACTGGCCCAATCGGGGCACTTCCGCCGTTAAAGGTTAAATATAATCTAAAATTTCATGAGGCATATATGTATTAATAAGATCTTATTTGCTGTTAGATATTGGCTTTGTTGTGGGAAATCTTGAAGTAGTCCTCAAGACACAAACCTACTTCACAATCCTTACACCTGAATTACTTTTCTGTTTCAACTTACCTTCCAGCAAATTTCACATCTCTTGCTGGGCTTGGCCTTCCCCTCAGAAGGCTGAATCTTTCTTACAAAATGTCTTGCTGCCTTATTGGCATTTTTGATGGTCTTCCAGTATGAGTAGATTCTGAAGACTTATTATGTACTTCATATAATTCTCTTCTTATCTGAAATCTGAAAGCCAGATCATTTACTTTCTTCATGTTCTGGATTTCTCTGTAAAGCACAAAGGCATTATGTACTGAAATATTTAGCAGTGTCTTGAACAGTTTTATGTACCACTGTGCTTATCTTTCAGTTTCATATGCTTGCAGTTTTTCATCCTTCCAGTCTATGTCTCCCATAAACAAATTATATTTCTGTATACCTCTTGGTTTATGTAGGTCTCTTTTCTTTGAAACTGCCACCATCGTGTCACTGTGAAATGTGGAACTGAATGACACAGGCTTCTTGTTCATCCATTTCAGTGCCATCATTCTTTGACTTTGCACAGCAATATGCTCAACCTCTTTCAATTTTGCTCCTTATATAAACAGAGGAACATTCTTCCTGTTCAGTCACAGTGTCCCAGGTACATTTACATCACTTTTCTTCAGAAGCAGACAGAGATCTGGAGAACTGTAGAAACTATCCCTCCATCATGTGTGTCCTCTGCCAGAAAGTGGCTCTACGAATTTTATAACTATCTTCTGCTTGTCAAATATGTTGATTCCATCAGATATAATAAATTTCTCTGCACATCCAGTAGATGGGGTACAAAGTTTGAAGGATTCATCAAGGGATATATTTCCTTAAATCTGTACAGGCTGCTAAATATGCTGTTTAGGTGTTTTATAATGGGATCAGTTTTGAATAATTTCATCAAAGGTTTTAATTTCATCATTATTCACAAAATGTAATAATTGTGAAAGCATTTGCATCTGTCATGTGATATATATAAAAAACCAGTGTCAGAAAAATTTTTACTAAAACTGACTTTATTGGTGGCATTCAGTTTATTCCCCTAGGCATTCATATAGCAAAAAGCACATAAAGTTCATTCCTGTCACCATCTTTCGAGTTGAAACACAGGATCTTGGTTTTATTTTAGCCTTGTGTGTGTCTGAATTTTGCAGCATTCCTGTTAGTTTCTATAACTATAGTGCCCATTATGGAATGATCAAAATATAACTTCAAAGCCTCCAATGCACTTCTGAATGTACAGGGCCAGAAAAGTGAATTTTACTAAAAGAGTAAGAATTGTCAAAAAATAGATACAGGTCAGCTGTTAGTGCCTGATCTTAGCCTTTTGAGGTTGAAATTGCTATTGCAAAGTTGAAAATGTATAAATCACTAGCTAGTGATCAAATTTTGATGGAACTAATTCAAACAGGAGGTGAAATATTATGTAATAAGATCATAATCTAATAAATTCTATTTAGAATAAGGAAAAATTGCTTGATCAGTGGAAGGAGTCTATTATTGTACCAGTTCACGGGAATGGTGATAAAATTGACTGTAGTAATTATTGGGGGATATCACTGCTATCAACTTCATACAAAATTTTGTCCAGTATTCTTCTCTCAAGGTTGAGTCCATGCATAGATGAAATTATTGGGGATTATCAGTGTGAGTTTCAACATAACAGATCAACTACTGATCAGATCTTTTGCATTTCTCAGATACTGGAGAAAAAATGGGAGTACAATGAGACGGTACATCAGCTAATCGTAGACTTTTTTTATTGCTAGTGGGGTGGGACTAAGTCCCTTGTACTGCAGCCACTTCTGGCCTATTGTACCAGCCACAAATGATAGGTGAGGGTGATTGTGGAGCAATTGGTGGAATGAAGATTGGCAGTGGAAACCAAAGTACTCGGAGAAAACCTGCCCCAGTGCCACTTTGTTCACCACAGATCCCACTTGACCAGACCCAGGATCAAACCCAGGCCACCACGGTGGGAAGCCAGCAACTAACCGCTTGAGCTATGACGCGGCCTATTCGTAGACTTTAAGAAAGCCTATGATTCAATTAGGAGGGAATGGGTGTATGTATGAGGGGTAGGCTTTCTCGGGCCTTGCACCGCAACCTACAGTGGTCTATTGTGCGGTATTATACAACATTCTGAGAGAGTTTGGGGTACCCAAACGAAACTTATAGTAAAGTCCATATAGGTAAACATTTGTCTCATAATATCGCTGTCCAGAATGGTCTAAAACAAGATGATGCTTAATCACAACTACTTTTCAACTTTGCTTTAGTACGGTATTTACGCATGTATAGGCCGCACATTTTTTGCCAAAAATTCAAGAGGAAAACTGGGGTGCGGCTTATATTCGAAATATTCGAAATCACACTTCATTTAAAAAAAATTATATTCATAATTAGTAATACAGGGTGTTCTACTCCTGAAATAATATTCCAAGAAAATTATTTTTTCTATAATTTCTGTCTGAAAATTGTGCTGCGGCCTATACACGCACGCGGCCTATACATGCGTAAATTATGCCATTAGGAAGGTCCAGGACAACCAGGTGGGACTGAAATTAGACCGGACACATCAGCTGCTGGTCTGTGCTGATGATGTGCATCTACTGGGTGATAATATAGACACCATAAAGAAAAACACAAATTTAATTGATGCCAGTAAGGAGACTGGTCTGGAAATAAACACAGAGAAAACTAAGTATATGTTGCTCTCTCATCACCAGACAGCAGGGCAAAATCATGACATAAAGATAGCTAACAACTGTAACAAATGAAAACCTGATTGAGGAGGAAATTAAGAGGAGATTGAATTCAGGTAATGCTTCCTACCAGTCAGTCCAGAATCTTTTGTCTTCTCATCTGCTGTCTAAAAACATAAAAATTAGAAAATACAAAACTATAATTTTTCATGTGGTTCTGTATGGGTGCAAAATTTGGTCTCTGACATTAAGGGAGTTAAGGTAGAAACAACTGAGGGTGTTTGATAACAGGGTGCTGAGGAGAATACTTGGATTGAAGAGAGATGAAGTGGCAGGAGGTTGGAGAAAAGTACACAATGAGGAGCTTCATAACTTGTACTCTTCACCAAGTATAATTAGAGTGATGAAGTCAAGGAGGATGCGATGGGCAGGGCATTAGCATGAATGAGGGCAAAGAGGAATACATACAGGATATTGGTGGGAAAGCCGGAAGGAAAGAGACCACTAGGAAGAGCAAGACGTAGGTGGGTGAATAGTATTAAGATGGATCTTAAAGAGATAGGATGGGATGATATGGACTGGATCGATCTGGCTCAGGATAGGGACCAGTGGCGGGCTTATGTGAACATGGTAATGAACCTTCAGGTTCTGTAAAATGCTGGGAAGTTCTTAAGTAGCTGCACAGTTGGCGTCTTCTCAAGAGGGGCTCAGCTCCATGAGTGAGTGAGTAAGAACTGTCACATTTTTCCACTGCATTCACCCTGATATTCCAATCTAGTCCTCTCTGTTCATGCATCACTCACTAATTCTTCTTTACTTCCATCATTTTCTGAGTTTATCATTGAACTAACACTCTCTTCAGATTCAGAAATATCTGCATCACTTCCACTGTCATAATTGCACACTTCTTCATCACTAGAATATTCCAAAACTTATCACTCATTTCCAGACATGTGTTATACTAGGCAGTGCCATTTTGAAACCCCCAAGCAGCAGGTTTGAAGGTTGCAGAACATTCCACATGGCTCCTATGAAATCATACAGTTGAAAGGATCAAGTGGTATAGTGAAAACTACAATATTTGGATTCCCTTCTAAGAGAAGGCAAAGCAGTGACAATTTTTCTGCGAGCTTGCGATTGGTGAGGATGTACTCAGGCTGTCACATATGAGGGGGGACCCAAAAAAAACAGAATTTGTTTCTAGAAGGTGGGGTGCTTGTACTACAGGTTTCTGCAGCTAGGTGGTTGTTTGCAGAACTTTCCTGAATCAGTATGCCAGCTGGCGTCATCAAAAAACTTTGCATTAGTGTTTGGTGAACTTTTTTCCAAGTGACTTTTTATAATTTGTCTATTTTTTATTGGCTGATTCACACGAATGTGTTGCTGTGCAGGTTTGTTTCCTTTTGGGGAAGCAGCAGCAGAAACGTTTTGCTGATGTTGAAGACATAAAGAAAAAACGACCGAAGCCCTAAAAGGCATCACCAGCGATGAATTTAGAAAATGTTCTGAGCAATGGAAAAAACGTTTGGACAAGGGCATTGAATCAAATGGAGAGTACTTTGAAGGGGATTAAAGTTTTGTTATGTAAAAATGAATACAGAATTTTTTATAAACGAATTCCGTTTTCTGGGGGTCCCCCTTCATATTGTAATTTAAAGACTGGTGAGTACATACTCAGGATACCAGATTGAGCATTTAAAGTTCTGCTTAGTAGCCAACCTATCTTAGGTGAATAAAACTATTCTCTTTCAGACAAAAATAAGCGGATTAAAAAACTAACTGGAAAGAGAAATTGGTGAAAAAAGCAAGCAAACAAATTTGTTGCAGGTCTAGAAGAACAGAAAAGCCACTTTCATCCAGTGGTCTCAAGAGCTTTCTCGGGGAAAAGTTGGGTTCAGATTTGCGGTGGACAGCATCACAGTATTGCACTAGACAGTGAAGGTGAGTGGTTACTCTAATGGAATTTACTGGCTTCATTGAGAGGTGAATGTATATTGTTCCTTGTGTTTGTGCTGCAGGTGTGATATATGTGCTTGGGAGGAAGGAGTATGGGCGCTTGGGGTTGGGAGAGGACTGTGATGATGCTAAGGAGCTCATCCCCATCTCTGCCCTCAGGGATAAGAAGTGTGTGGATATATCATGTGGGAGTGCTGTATCATTTGCTGTCACAGATGAAGGTGAGTATGAACAGTGGTACAATAAAATATCAAACTTTTCAGGTCCAGGTGTCATAATTGCAGGCACAGAATAATTCTGAATGTTCCTACTGGAAATAACAATTAAAAACTATATTGTATCGGTTACTGGGTTTTTGGACTTTCTCCATCCCCCAGTATTTTACAAAACAGAACATGTGATGTGTTGGAAACTCAGTCAGTTTCTATCCTCAGGTGAGGGGGGAAGATACACCTACTCAGTTGGGATGCTTAGAAAGAGCTAGTCTCAATCACTGGACAGCCTATGTCAGATTTACACAGCTATTTAATCACCTGAGACCAGTCTACTTTGACGGGAGGTAACAAGAAAATATATGATAAAAACTGTGATTGAGCATGCACATGCATGGAACCAGGATAAAAAAGGAGGTAGAAATTTGTGTTACAAACATACCAACAAAACCAAGAGCATGAACATCAATGCATAGTAATGAGGGGGACAAATTGTGAAGACAAGTGGTATCTACCACTAGTGCCATCTGTGGAGTAAAACATGAACACTCAAGACTGAAACCTTACGGAAGCCTATGAAGAATCTGTCACATCATTCAGATCTTGTCTGTGAGTTAGAAACCTCATTGCTGGTGAGGGGGATCCAGATATGAGATATGTCCAAGCTGGGCTGCCTGATTGGAGTGGTTAAGCATACCATATGGGCCAATTCCTTATATTTTCTATACCTGCCGTTAGTTTCAATTTCCAAAATCCTAGCATCATCCCATCCTACTCTATGACCCTCTTCATAGGCATGTTAGGCTAATTTTGATTTTTCTAGAAGACCCTGTTGGAGATTGTGCCTGTTTTCCCAGAGCTGCATGGCTAGAGGTCTGCCTGTGAAAATCTCACAGGAATTGTCCAGTGATTGAGATCAACTCTTTCTAAGGGGCCCAACTGAGTAGGTGACTTCCTCCCCCTCACCTGAGGATGGAAACAGTTCCAGTTTCCGAAATGTTGTGTGTTCTATTTTCTAGAATACCAGGTGATAGAAAAAGTCCAAAAACCCAGTAATTCTGTGTGTTAGACACTACTGTCAGAACCCTTCAGAAACTAAATTGTATCAATGTTTGTGAAAAAGATAGTATGTCTGCTTTCTTAGTTAATCAACACCAGAGATCACTTTTCTAGACCTAAGAGATATAAACTAACAGGAAGGTTCATAGATTGTGCTGTAACATTGTTACGATGATAAAAGCAAGTTGAAATGGTCAGTATGTACAAGAAATAAGAGGTGCAAACACAGCTGAAAATCTTCACTGCAGGGGATCTTGGTACATAATGGTCACACATTAGTCACTAGGCATGGGGTTTGAATTGATAATTGAATTTATTGAATACAATTCTCTACTGGAGTCCATCATAACACAACAACATAATGGTCAAGGTTAAAATTACCTTAGCTACATGTTTCGGCTATTAAAGTCATCATCAGACAAACACGTCATTACTATATTCACACATTATTGAACTGCAATTTCATTGTGATAGTGAAGCTGGGTACTTGATAACTGTTATATTATAAAAATACAATGAATTATAAACTTATTAAAAAATGAAAGTTATGGAATAAAATATGGATAAAAGCTCTTCATGTGATATTGCATATCATGAAGTCAGTTGTTGCAATCTTCTTGTATCCCTGTGGATATAGCGGTATATTCAAGACTTGTATACATATAATAAACTGCTTGGAGGCCCATGGTATAGATGTAGTATTATTTGACAGTAATTGTTTGGCCCGTGCTTCATTTTACAATGTATTTTGCAATCTGTATTCCCAACAGAGCGGAGTTGGGAAATATGTACTACCATGGACCTTAGGAAACCTGGATCAGAATAGTTTATAACAGAGTCACTGAGCTGGTTGATGTAGCAGAAATGCCCTGAACTTTTATTCTAAAGGGGCTCAGTTCAAATTTTGCCCATGACATTTACTGAGTTTTTCATTGTTTTCCTCAATTCTTGCAGACAAGTGTCAGGATAGTACTTCCAAGTTAAATTGGCAGCATTCAACTGCATATTCTTTGTTACAAGTTCATTATTTTAGATTCTTCCTTGTTATCCAGGTGAGCTTTATGCATGGGGCATGGGCTCTACAGGTCAACTGGGAACAGGCAAAGAAGAGGATGTACACACACCTCAAGTTATTAAGAGCAAACAGCTGGAGTCACATCATGTGCTGCATGTTTCGGGTGGGGGGCAACACACTGTCTTACTAGCCAAGTCAGTCAACCAACAGAATTAGTGAGGTAATGGTACTGCTCAGCTTCTCAGCTTTAATATTTATGGTATTTTAATATCACTGACAAGATTTCAGTATGCAGAAGCACAGCACATTTCCATCCCCCTCATTTTATCAACTTCTGAGCCAGTTAAGAGCAGTAGTTGATATAACATCATAAATACCCCATAACATTTAATGTAAACTTTTGTGTAAACATCTTCAACACTTAGCCTTCAAATAAAATAACTGGCTCCAATTAAAATGTATTTTCTGCAAAAGAAATATGAATAGTTTTTCTTCTTTTGCTCACAACCATATAGATCACAAAATCAACCTGATACAGAGTTCATTATACTGTTAACAGATGGAAAAACAGCCTCTGTTATAGTACTGTATATGACCACCTACACAGCTGTTGGAGATCCAACAAACGCTGAAACAAGAAGTTTGTAGTGTTGGCATGTTGTGACCATGGAGGGATAAGTATAAATTACTGGTACAACAGTCCTGTGTGGTACTGTCTTCAGCATTGCAACTTACAGCCAGATGTCTATTCAGAATACTGGTTGATGGTATAACTTGAGGCTGTAATACATTGAAAGTTGAAGATGTTTTGTTAAGGTGTGTGTCAATTGTATAATTTGTAGAATATGTCACTCCCTAGATGATAAGGGCTGAGAAATGTAAAACCTGATTTCAGCAATACATAAAAACATTGTTCTATTCCATCAGTCATTTGCATTTCATTAGTCTGTATCATGTGTGTTCTGGTATCAACTGGATGAACTAATGAGACCACAACAAAAGCCAACAGATACTGGTGGAGGTTAACCATTTGTGAGAAGATGGTAAAGTTGTATATGGTTTGGTGCCAGTTTTTTGATGGCGATCAAGATTTTGAAAAGTATTATGTGCCATGATATTTCATCTCCAGAACGTTTGATGGGATTGAAATGGGATGACAGCACTTGGCTGCATTGGTCAGTGAAACATGTACATGTTACGAATGACATGTTGGTTGGCTTGTCTTTTTCCCCACATCTGAATTTTTATTAAATTGTATGCTGGGAATGTTTATCAGTTGTAAACCTAAGGACAACATTCAGACAGTCTCTCTAATAAAAATTAATTTTTTAGAAATACTCCACTTGTTACCTAACCTTTCAAGAATAAATGGAAGAAAGTGACTGGCACTGTGAGGTAAGATGAGTTTTGTTTAACCACTTCCATGTGACAGATGTATATATACATTCCTTGACATGACAGGTCAGGTTTTGTTACAGTTAAGCTTAGATTAGATTAGGTGATAGGTTAGATAAGGTTACAGGTTTAATTATACATCCTTTGTCACTTCTTTATTCTAAATCAGCAAAAAGAAGAAGAAAAGACAGCATGGAAAGAGTTTAGAAGACAGGTGTTATTATGCCAGCTGTAAAGCTATTCGAACATGTTTAGTGGGAAATGAAGATGGCATATATTGAAGCTAAGAGAAATGTGCAATGCAGGGCTTCTTTGTGTAGATCATACAAATAAGAAGGCAAAGTGCCCAGTTGGTATTGCATTGCATCTGGGATGGTGTTGAAGTATTCGGGGTTGGAAACTACGTGAAAATAAATGGTTGGTATGTATTGAAAATTAGAGCCGAGATGATCGAGTCACAATAACTGTCTGAAACAGAACTGCCAACCCAAGATAAGATGTCTGTATGCAATTGCACTGTGCAACTTTAGTGGCTTATATAGGCACTGGGACATTACAATGTGAAGGGAGTCCTCTTCATTTGTTACCTCGTTTTGAGTAAAAATGTGTATGATGTAGCATGACCTGTTTCAAATTAAAAGCTACAGACATAGCTGTGACCAAACGAAAGACATGTGGAGGCATGGGAGCAAGAACTGAAATGATGTAAGCCCTGAGTGAGGATTTACTTGCTGCGTGTTTGTTTTCATATTGTTCCATAAGAAAGTGTATTGTTCAGCAACCACACATTGAACTGCTCAACTCAGTGGGACGTATTCAAACAGAGCACTCGACTTTGTACAGGTTTATCCACCATATGTATTACAGATATATGAAAAGAGTAAATTTCATTTTGGTGCTGAGGGCTGCAAAATCCACAGCAGCAGTGGTGCTGGTGGACAAAGTGGCCTTGAGGCAAATACCTCTAAGAACTCTAAGGACTCCCAGGTTCGCAGTCAGTCATTTCCTTGACTCTCTCTATTCATCAAGGTGTGTGACAGCCCACCAACTGGCACAATATCACAAACTGATCCTCAGCTGTGGCTCAAAATTAGGACCTTTGAGTTTAAAAAAATAACAGACATGAGGTGGTTGGCAACACAGCAAGAAAAGAAGTCACAATATCAAGAGTTGGGCAGCCCCATGTGAACAATTCTAAGAAATGGCTGAGCAATGTAATTGAATTCAGGTTGTCACTGTAGCAGGTCAGACTGCTGAAGAACTGTAATTACGTACTCAAAGCATGGAAAATTATTTTTTTATGTTATAAGTGAATGCAAAATTGAATGTACAACATCAGATACAGTTTTGCCCAGTTAATTCTTTTCTTTTCATGACACATTCCCAGGCTTCAAGGCAGGATGTATAAATACCAACTGCAAACCAAAGACCAGTTTCCCCACTAGAGCACCCACATGACATGGACATACTCAGAACCAGTTTATGAACTGTACTGTTATTTGGAAAAAGGGTAGGGAGGGATAGTAATGTTCAGAATTAGCTTCATGTGGCTGCAAATGTGGATATTTCTGGAAGCATGGCTACCACTATGTTACACATCTCTCCTTCGTGACTGACTGATTGCAGTCAGTTTCACTTGAAGGCACCAAGTCTTCCCAATTATCAGAGTTAGAATAAGGCCTGTGGTGCAGGTCATGCATTGTTATTGTCTCTGTCAATTACAGTCATCTGTACTTAGCCGAAACATCATGAACCACAGAACAGTGGAACATTTTGTTAATTGTGAACAGCTGGTTTAACAGAACCCAAAATATTTTACAACATAATGGACTAAACATTTATATAACATAATGATACATAAGTAAAAACCTGCGGCATGTTAAGACATCCATGGCAGTGGATGCACTGAGAAGGTGGTTTGTCATATTTTAACAGGATGTTCTGAGAACAAATTATGATGCCTGTTTTGCTTAAGTTAGACTATATATCAGTACATACATGAAGCTGGCATTTTGTTAACTTTGTTAACTCTTACTCATCTTAGTTCAAATTTTTTAACACACACATACATACCATTAAAAATTAGTATTCATATCAAGAAAAAGTCAGAAATAAGTTTTAGTTAGCTGTAATTCATTAGCATTAGTGTATGAAACTGAAGTTCTCAGCAGTGACAATGAGGAGCACTGTCATCTGGAATGTCATGCTGGGTAACTGAGTATAGGTTTATTGACATTCCAGAGGAACATCAGTACCTTTCTATTAAGCTATATAGCTTGAAGACACTAGTCTTCATGGCCTTAATTTGCATTTCTAATTTATAACTAATGAAGAAATGTTCCAAGCCTCTAATGCTTTCACAGAAAGGGACCCAAAGGAATACTGCATGCTATGTCAACTACAGTTGTTACTCTCACTGGAACCTATAGAACATACTTTTTGTTAAATTACAAATTTCTTCTCTTAAAGAAAGAACTGCTACTCATCTTGTTATGCATTCATCATGATTGCAGTTCAGAACATGGGCAAAGCTCCATTTTGATGCAATACTGAAGACCATTTTTTGTGGATCTGAATACTGGGACATGTTAAATTTTCAGCTTTCTAGAGGAAAGACAACAAAGATAAAATGTAAATAAATTATTTTCAAAAATGTATTCTTACTTGCAACTAGAGGGGGCACATGGTAGCGTAGTTGGTTAAGAGGCTATGCTACAAGCCGGAAGGTCATGGCTTCAAGTCCTGATGAGGTCACTGGATTTTTTTCAATTGACCTAATCCTGCCAGCCGCACTATGGCCCTGGGGTCGACCCAACCTGTAACAGAAATGAGTTCAAGGAATTAATTAAATAATTTTCCTCGGGAGTAAAGCGCGGCCAGCGCATAAGGCTAATAACCTTACCGCCATCTTTGAGCCAACTGTCTAGATAATGTGGGAGCCTCAATGTCTCACAACCCTGTTACAGGGATAGCTTTGCTTTTTTACTTGTTACTTGCAACTACACCTACATTTTGTGCCCTCTAAGGTATCCCAATCTAGGTTCTTGCTCTGGGATGTTTTGTTTACTGGTCTCCAGTACCTACATTTTTTCTCCCCTTCTGTAGTTCCATCTGTGTATATTTTCCCAGAACTCTACAGAGCTACCTTATTGAAGTGGCGCACAGCATCTATTACCCCCAAGCTTTGGTGTTGTTAGGTCAACATGTTCATTCTTATGGCAATGACACCAAACCACACTATCAAATGACTCGTTACTCTGTGTTCTGCCACGGAACTCATCATTACTTTTGTTTTTATCCATGGAGGCGTTCTGATAGCATTATTGGTTCAGTCAGTCTCTCATAGATGGGTTTCATCCATTATACCACCTTAAGAGCAAACCTACCTTAGACATTACTAGGTCCAGTTTGCTATTTAATATTTTTCTCTCTGATACCAGTACCAACTTTGCTCTAGAGTTTTTTTAATTCGCTTAGTGGGGGGTGGAGTCCAACTGGGTCCACTCGGCATGGCAGCCACTGATTGGTCTATTGTAGCCTGCCCCAGGTGATTATGATGATGGAGAATTTGGTGGAATGAAGATTGGCAGGAAAAACCGAAGTACTCTGGGGGGGGGGGACCCGCCCCAGCGCCATTTTGTCCACCACAAATCCCACTTGACCGAACCCAGGCCACCGCAGTGGGAAGCCAGCAACTAACCGCTTGAGCTATGGCGCGGCCTATGCTTAGAGTTGATCACTTACTACAAAGTGGCTGGTCATCTGCTACAAGATGTAAGACAGTTTACCAAACAGCTCTTCATATGTCTAGCAGCCTTATGTTTCCACTAACGGTTATGCCAAAATAATTACGCATTTATCCACCAGGCTTTTGGCCAACTTTCCTTTTCCCCCCAAGAGTGTTCTTTATTGGTGCCTTCAAGATAATTGTTCCTAGCCTCTTCTGATAGTGCCCCAAACATTATGGATTTTCCATTATAAGATCAGTAGCAGCTACATTTAACTGTTTAAATCATCACCATAGAAGTGTGTACAGGTATCCCTCATTGTATGCAATTTCACTATAACATGACTTCATAACTGTGAGAAATATTGGGACACCCTGGAAAAACGACAATTTAGCCTCCAAGACTACAGGCAAGAAAGAGGAGTAAGTTCCAATCAGCAAGATCTAGGTGGGTTTGGTTTTTGAAAACACACGCCAAGGTCAACACTTGGACGAAGACAATTGATAGTTTAGTCAGTTGAGAGTGGAGTTCTGTATGGGAGGATGTGAAGATAGGACCTGAGCACGTGAAGCTAAGAGTCTCCACTGTTAGAAGCTGTTGCCAGGGAATGCCTGGCAAACCCCATCTACAGTCACCCCTAATACGTAACAATATTATCACGCAATATGCACATGTAGTCACTTGGGCATGGTCAGTTGTCTCAGTCTCTTGGCAGTTGTAGACTGTGTAGCATCTCACATAACGTTTTGTCATCTTAATTCTGTACAAACCGGAACTTAAAAGTTAAGAAGAAACCATCATAAGCAAATGTAGAAGCAGTGACAAAAGTGCTACCAGAGGCAAGAAGCATGAAGTCTATTATCATTGAGGAAAAATTTGATTTGATTTAAGAGGTATGAACATTGAACACATAGCTGACATAGCCAATGCCATGAAAGTCCTCAAATCAACTTTAAGAACCATAAGAAAACAAGCTGAGAAAATTAAGGAAAGCCATAAAAGTGCAATGAGCATCACAGCTAGTAGGATCACACAAACTAGGGTGCTGATTAAGGAGAAATTCGAAAGGCTGTTGGCTCTCAGGATAGCATCAACATCAATGTGCCACTGGGGCTAAAGTGAATAGTCTGAGAACCTGAATGCAATTGATTCAGATTTGAATGTACAAACCTTTGCTGGCAGTGCTGAGGCTGCCATGGATTCTACAATCTTAAGCTAAGGTGCAAAGCTGCCAATAAAACTGCAGTACTTCCCCAATCAACAAC